ATTTATAGCTTTACATAATAATGGAAACCTACTCCATATACCAACTGAAATACTAGCCATTTTTCATGTTATAATTCTTTTTTCCTATAAGCATATCAAAAAGCCAGTTTTCTTATCATTTCAATTATTCAGTTAGAGAAATTCAGGTACAAGGTAGCTGACTATATTTAACTAAAATCCTGCAGATATTAAGGCCTGTAAATTTATTTGAACAGAATCTGTCTTTTTGCAGGAGGCCTGCCTTAGCTATTTTGTTGAATAAGTTATATTTAAACTAAGAGTATTAAACTATCGGCCATTGTTATTTTTGGACTTGTAGAGTCTTATTAGTAACATAACAAGTGGACACTTAAAAATATCTTTAGTCCTTATATGTGGAACTCGTAAGAATTTCCACCGTGGCTCGATGCATTCTATTATTTTCACCTCAGATTAAGTACTATTTGAAAATGCAACAATAAGTCTTCTGTCCTTGTGCAGCTGTACAGAAGACTTTTATCAATTTTCTGTTTCCAGATCACCTTTGACGTAATTCCTACATTCTTCATGTTTTCTTCAAACCAATGAACTCTCAGTCATGTTGGGAATGCTTGATTTCACATATCTTCATTTCAGGTTGGTAACATCTTTAGTTACTACCTCTGCTGGAATTAATAAACCATACCCTAGTGACTTTGCTGTAGAATCCTAGGGTAGCTGCTTGGGCTCGCAAAACTTGGGGCTACTGTCCAGATTCTCTTCAATCAAACTCTCCAGGAAAAGTACAGGAGTCTTTATTTTAACAAGCACTCTTTGTGATTCTGTTGATGATAGAAATCTGTGAACTAATTTGGAAGGGTTCGTGACTCAGGTTAACAAAAAATCATATCTGTAACTTCAGTTTTTCCTTTTTAGTGTGTCCAACCATTGAACGATTAATCTGTTAGCATCACTAGCCCCACCACAAGGGGACACTCGCCCAGAGTATTTGACATTTTTTCATTTTACAATCCTTTAGAAAATGACACCATATTGGATATTGGAAAATGATAAATATCTAACTTTTGATTTCTCTCTCCTAATTTGAAATTTTGGCCAAAGATCTACACTCAAAGGCAGAATAATCAACATTCACCATATTTAATACTTACGCATGCCAGGGATAATGATCCATACATATCTCACTTAGGTAAAAGGTGGTGCTAACATTTCAAAATGTTTCAGAATGAAAAGGTAGGTAGTTTTCTCTGTTCTATTACTTGGATGTTACAAATGACACTTAAAAATAAAATAAAAACTTTAAAATCAAGATTTGGACAAAAATCTGAATGCGTATATATTCAAAGTGTCTTTTTGCTAAGTGATAGAAGCAGGAAGACAAGTGGTAGAGTCATTTTGAATATAACGTGTAAGCAATACTTTACCCATGGATAGAAGTTTAAACTTTCTTGCATTATTTATACTAATGTAACTATTTTGTTATTGTCACAGTGCTAACCTTCTAGTTATATGTTTAATTTTACATTTATTGGCAAACATACACTGTGAATCTCTGTTAGGCACTGGAAAGATTAAAAATAAACAATACACACAAATTTCTTCCTCACTTCTATTTCCAGAATAGTTTTCTGTTCTGGAAACACAGTGATGTCCCTTTTTTCTTGCCGTACATTGCTTATTGATCATATCCATCACTCTTTCATCTATTAAATCCAACACTAACAACCCTAGAGCCCTATTCTAGCTTATTCGGGAGAGAGAGAAAAATGCTGTAGAAGGAGAGTTCTGAGTTTCAATTCTAGTATTATAACTTTGTAAAATTGCTACAAAAAGATAAAGATAATAAAACAGAGATGTAAATAATGAGAGAATTCTTAACATTTATTATGCATGTACTAAATCCATGTGATGCAGTATTTTATACAGTCTAACAAACTCTACCATTTAACTTGTTGTTTTCTTTTGGAAAAATATTGTAAAGGAACGAGTCTGACTTCTGGAGTTGGAATGGTTTGCTTACAGCATCCAGACTCCCAGCTCTTGTTAGGTCATCTGCATTGCTCACCACTCTCCAGTTGTTTGTTGCTCAGGAAAGTCTTGAAAGAGCATCAACAGAAAACAATAATAGAGCAGAATATTAGAGTAAATATTTTAGTGTTTTTAGTTATAAAATTTTATATTTTGATTTTATATTTATAGGGAAAATAAACTAGATTATATTATCATTGTAATAAAAATTTCTTAAATTATTTTTCCATTTTTATATACTTTTTGTTTTTTGTATGCATGTTTATTTTGTAACATATTTATCTTGTCTACTTACATTCACTTCGTTTAAATCAAATTTATCATTATATGTTTCCATAAGCATCACTAATAATGTCAATATATGTTAGTAATTTGAACCAATCCAAAATGTAATAAATGCTTCCTTTATTGTTGGAATTGTATCTAGCTAATATATTTAAAGGTAGCAAGGTATTCAAGTATACACATTTTCACAATATTTGGAATATTTTCTAATTAATTATTATGACATAGGAATATTAATTCAAAGGTATGAGTGTTTGAGAGTGTTAAACTATACCATTGTTTCCAAATTCCTACCTAATGTGTTACAACAATTACCAGATTAAATCTAGGGATTTACTTAATATAAAAGGTCATTTATACTTGTTTTAGCTTCAAAATGGGAAGTTCTTGAATAATATGAATGGTATGGCCGGTATATGATAGAAATGTATAAAGACTAATGTTGAGAATGGAAGGATTAAATAGCTAGGACTGTGACACTTTCCCATAGCTATAGTGGAGTCACACTCTGCCATAAATGATAAACTTGAGTCATTTGTAGGGAAGTGGATGCAACACAACAGTGTTGAGTGAAATGAATCAGACATGTGACCTTAAGGGTCTCATGGCTTTACTTACATGAGAAACCCAAAGTATAAATGAAGAGCAAAATAAAAGGAAAAACAGGAAGTAGGGAGATATATTTTCTCAAGTGAAAAGGAGATTAAAGATGGAAAAGAAGGAGGATGAGAAAAAGGGGATGATAAATTGAGCTGGAATGTGTTGCATATGTGTACCAGCTCCACACCAGGAATGTAAACATGATGTACTGCAAACATGTACAAAAACAAGGAAAGGAATAAAGAGATGGCTGATGGGGAGAGAGATGAAAACTAAAAGGTATTTTAAAAAAGGAACTAAGATGTATTATGTTGGGTCCAGAATTTAGCTCTGTGGCATAAGTGCCTGCCTGGCAAGCAAAAAATCATGAGTTCGATCCCTAGTACTGAAAAAAAAAAAAGTACATTATGTACCAATTCCAAACAAGGAGTGTAAGCATTAGGTACTGTAAACGAGTCCTTATAAAAGTTAAAATTTTAAAATTATGTATCATGTATCATGTGAAGGCATTTATAAAATGATAAAAATGTTTCATGAGTTATTAATTCATAAGCTGAACTATACAGTTTGATTTTTGACATTGAATACATTAATAATCCAGGCATAATGATGCTAAACTATAATCCCAGTAACGTGGGAGGCTGAGGCATGAGAATTGCAAGCTCAAGGCCAGCATGTACAATTTTGTCACTTAACAAGACTGTCTCAAAATAACATAAAATGAAAAAGTCTAAGGATGTAGCTCAGTGTGAAGGTCTTAAGCTCAATTCTAAGTAGTGTAATAAAAACAAAAATATGTAGATATGGAGTATATTTCCAAATGATATCCTAGTCAGATTAAGTTCCATTGAAATTTTGTTAAATGTTTAATTTCCATTAATGTTCAAAACATATTTTGAACAGACATTTCTCAAAGCTGAGGTACAGATGGACAATAATCAAAAAATATAGTAGTTACTAGCAAAATGCTGATCTAAACTACACTGAGATTCTCATTTTTACTGGTCAAGATAGCTTTTATGAAAACAACAACAACAAAATAGCAAATGCTAGGGAGGATGTGGGTATAAAGAACACTAACACACTACTGATGGGAATGTTAAGTAGTGTAGCCACTATGTAAAAAAATACAGATATTTCCCTCAGAAAAGAAAAAAAAATCTGAAAATAAGCTTAATACATAGCTGTATGGCTCCTGGTGTATGTCAGAAATAACTGATGTGAGCATACCCTGAGACATTTGCAAACCTGTATTTATGTCCACGCTCACAAGAACCAACTGTTGCAAACACCCTAGCTAACTGCATAAGAAAACGTGATATTTATATACTATTGCTAAGCTATAAAGCTATAAAGAAGGATGAAATTAGGTCACTTGCAGGCAAATAAATAGAAACGCAATTTATGATTTTAAGCAAAATAATACATTTTCTCTCATTTGTGTAATTTGAGTAAAAAATCACGTGAAGGTAAAAGGGAGATCATTACGGAACAAAAAAGGGGCTGAGAAGAGGGCAGAAGGTCATTAAAAAGGTAACAAAATAGATACAATGTTCAACCAATTGTTAAAAACCCATAATAAATGCAGGCTAACAAAATGTCAATTGTGCATTTTCATTCATTATTGAAATACTCCGATAAGAAAATGGTGTGAACTTCTTCCTATGCGTTTTACTAGATTTTATATAAATCTTTTGATAAGTCATTCATTGTCATCTATAAAATGAACATTAAGTTCTGTATGGCTCAAGTGACTTGTTATTTAAAACACCAAAACTAAAAGCTTCCCATGAGAAGTAATAGTAATAGCAAAAAGAATTCTCCTTAAAAAGCTTGTATTTGCTTGAATATTTTCACATTAGAGTGATTTCATTCTAGATATCACAATAATGTTAAAAAATTACCACAAAAACCGGGATATTCCTTCATAAAAATTGGGATAAATATATATTAATATAAAGTTTTGTTAGAAATATTTGTTGTAAATTTATGTTCATTAAATATCTTATATCATGTGAGTGTACTTAGTAATGAATAATTAAAGCTTATATCAAATTAATTTTTAATACAGCCATGAAAAACAGCTAGAAAGATAATATCACAAGAAGTTACACTTTTTTTCTTTTATTATTTTGGATTAGATACAACTTGAAGAAGTTATATATTCTTTATATTTGTCACACAAGTATTATTAAACCGGGCAAGAAATATGAAAAGAAATATCTTAGTACTTTTAAATATGCATATCAGGATTAAAAAGATATTCCTTTGTCACTAGAAAAATACATTTTAAATAGAACATTAATAATTCTACTTTGAACAATCATAAAAGGCAGCCACAGAAATACATTTTGTCATGTACAGAAGATGCTTAAATAAATATAAAAATAAAAATTTAATGGATTAGAATAGGTTGTACACACTAATAAGTGGTCATTTTTTATAAGTAAAAAAAGAAAATAGATATTTACTTAGGATATTTCAAAGTTGTTTTGTATTTCTTCCACTTCAAGCTCAGTTCTATAATAAATTCTCAAGTCAGAAAACAAAAAAATTCTATAAACTTGTCATTAACTGTTAAAATACTATATTTGATTTGCAAATCAAGGATTCTGTGGATCAAAAATTGAATTAAAAATTGAACATTTGTCCTGATCTGAACATTATACAATGTACATGTGCATGGAAACATCATATGGTACCACACAAAATGTACAATTTTATGGTCAATTTAAAAAAAATGATTCACACTGAAAAATAATTCCTAGAAACAGTAAGATTTAATACCTACTCCTCAAAATTTAGAGCATTCCTGTTAATGTTTTAAGTCTGGTAAAATCCATATTTATGTACAAAATGCACCAACATAGTTTAACAGGTTAAAAATGCACAAAGATGTTGTTGATCTAAAATTTAGCCATTGAATTCAAATAGATGAGTGAGTAAAAATGTTAGCATGATCAAAATCAACAACATAGATATAAAGTAATATGATAGTAATCCCTGAAGGAAGAGAGTGTGGTAAGTACACAAATAAACATAACCTAAGGAAGAATGTAAATGCTGAGTTCAATGAGAAGTGCATCTTAAAATCTCTGGGCATAGAGGCAAGAGTGCATAACTGGTTGAATTTAACAAAAAAGTTTTCATAAAAATGTGACATTTAAGCAATGTGAAAATGGGTGGCATTGCGGTATATGGTGTATGGAGAGGAAAGCCAGGAACCCAAGGCAGGGATGAACCAGTCTCCGTCTGTGAAAATCCGGGTCTTACTACGGAAATGAAGAACAGTCAGTTTTGGTTTCCTACTGGCTTTTTCACACTGAACTTGTCCGCTTGTTTCAGAATTTACAGATTTATTCTACAGTTTCTACAGATACTAAAAATCCTGAATTTTTTATCTTGTTCACTTTAACTCAAATTCTCAAGAATGAATAGATTAGTATCTACACTTAGGGAAATTGTATTGGTTGTTACAATTAATGCAATATATATAACACTAAGTTAGAGATTCACCATATTAACTGAGTGATTTAAGACTGCAAGAACCAAAAAACACAAACAAAACGTCAAATGGAAAATTTAAAATGAATTTGAAATCAATGTTCTTGCTTTCTTGTTTGTTATAAAATAAATAATTGAGACTTAGACTAGATGAATTTTCAACAGCATGAAAACATGTTAATTGAAAGTTACTATAATGAATTTATGTTCCTAATTTATTTTTATAAAAGCTACTTTTGAAATCAGGTAATTAACAACAGTAGATAAGCACTGCTCCTGTATTTTCTTACAAAACATAAGGTAATCCAAGGAGATTAGTCTCACTTTAGAAAAACAACATTGTAGTTGTTTTATCATTTATGATGATCTGAGTTTAATCCCTAGTAGAAAACAAAGAGCACGTCATTGTCCTACTATTTTGTTTAATGATTTATTGGGCTATTAGGGACACAGATGTTCACAAATGATTATTCAATTCCTTCCTTTAAAAAATGTAACCCATGTTAATATTATTTATTGTTTATCACTGTATTTTCTTGGGATGGAAATTCCTGTTTTGCTTACCGGTCAACTGCAAATATGGCATACAAAAATCCTGGCCCCCCAAAATAGAATATAGATAATTTTTAAAGTTGAAAAATGGAAATTCAGAATATGTTCTCAAAGATCATAAAAAAATAAATGAGAGTGAGAGGAAAGAATGAAAGAACAGATTAAGAGCATTCAAGAAAGTGTACATTAATACCGAGCTATCGATAAAATACAAATAATGGTTTATGATTTTTAAAAAATAAATGTAACTCACTGCAGTGTGAATAAAAAGGCAAGAAACAAGAAATACTTGGAATCTTCACATATGAAGCCTACACAACATAATGTTTCTACTTACATATTCACATATACAAGAAAGGTAAAAAGCAATAAACCAAAACAAAACAGAAACTGATCAGTTATCATTACCATAAAAGAATAAGATTCTTCCCAATATGAAGGAAGGAAGGAAGGAATGGAAAAAGGAAAGGTCATGAGAAGAGGAGAGGAAATCAGCAGGAAACAGGAGGACAGGCAGGCGGGTGGATAAGGAGAAAGAAAGAGAAGGGGGAAAAATAAAATTCTTAATTAAAAATCAAGGAAAGCCAAATATATTTGGGAACTAAAGTGACTGTTACTTAAAGCAGTATCTAAATAATCCATTCGACTTCTTGTGCTTTTACTAGCATGCCTGAGATGTCGCTAGGACTTCTTACAGTGAAAAAACTCATTTAAGCACTTTGGGTGACATCCTCAGAAGACAATCTAAAATACAGCACACAGAATAACGCGTCTGTCCGTGTAAATTTCCCGTCATGCATTCAGAGAAAAATTGTTCATAACGATGGCATGTAAAACACTATTTCACCCACACAAACAACTTTAAATTTTATCTCTTTGCTTAGGCAAATAGGGCATAAATGTACAATGCTGTAACTGATTTTCTCTTAACTCACAGTATATCTCCAAGCTGGAACCTTCATCTAATACTGATCTGATCAAAATATCTCAGTTTCCAAGTGGCAAAAGCTGATGCATAGCTCTGAATAATAGTTTTAATCATTGGGGCTTTTTTTTTTCCCTTCAGGAAACAGAAAGCTGGTATGCAGCACCTGGCTTGCCTCATCTACACTTATTGTAACCTACTGCCAGTACGTGTACATGCCCCAACAGTCACCTGTCATGTAGGCATAAATGGGTAGAAGCCTTCAGGAAGTGACAAACATGATAGATTGTACAAGCTAAGTATTGACAGAACCAAAATTGGATTAACGCAAATACAGCACAGTATTTTATAGATATAAAAATTCTAAGGACAAAATGTGAAAAAGATATGACATATTGACTATTACGTCTTCATATGTGGTTTCAATATTTTGTATTATTGAGAATTGTTTTAAAATTTATATAAAATCATTCCCCATAGAAGCTATGTGATTATCAAATAATTCCCATTAAATTAATTCTGTGTTCTATAGTGATAAGCGAGTTCTGTAGCATTCCTAATAAATAATTCATTGCTTGAACCTATAATAAAGTCACATTGGAAATCTTACACCAAAAAAGCGGAAAAAGAAAAAGAAAAATTCACTGTTTTTTATTTCCTACTAAATATTTTGACATGGTTTGCTTTTTTCTCCCAGAAAAGTTTTGTGACATACTTTCATATTAAATTTCAAAAATACAGACAGCATTAAAGCAAGTGAGAGGAAGCCACTGGCATTAGGTGGACAACAGCACCACATCCCCAGCGGTGGTTTCCGAGTCCTGACTGTGGTTGGAGCTGATTCCAGTGTCTGAGTCTGTGTCATTTGTGTAGGTGCTGAAGACCCTTTGGGGAAGGGGAGGCGTCTCCTCGCTGCTGCAGGGAGCCTCAGCCTCCTTCCCTCTGCTTTCCTTTAAAAGGCACTCTTCTGCCTTGCTCAGGTGAAGGGAATGCAGCTCCTTGGCTAGCAGTTCATATTCCTTTGCTTTCATCTGAAGCAGTGAGTCACTGTATTTAATCTCTTTCTGGATGCCACTCAAATGAGAGTGGATTTTCAAACCAGCTCTCATGCTTTTCTCCAAATCACACTTAACACTGTCTATATTAGGGTTTTCAAGTTCATCTGCAGCTGCCCCTTCTGGATCTTCACTTATTCCAGAGCAAACACTCTTCACTTCTTTTTCAATTTCAGCTGAGAGTTTATCGATGAGCATCCTGTAATATCTCAGTCGCTCTTCCAACTGTACAATCCCATCACTTTCGCTCAGGTCCTCCAGAGGCTGGTCTTCCTCAGGCTGCGAGGCTAACTTGGGCTCAACTTCACTGAAAGTGGACATTAAATATGCATCCTGGACGTAATTTTCTCCATTGTTTTCCACACGATCAAGGTGGAACTTGGCTTCACACTTTTCGATCTCCAGATCCAGCTCTTTCATCCTCTGCACTTGCTGATGAATAGTGTGATCCTGGGAGATGATCAGGTGAACTAATGTCTCCATATTATCGCGATCGTAAGAAACCGTGTCCTGTTTGATTTTAGCCAGTTTCCGGAATGTTTTTCTGACAATTCTTTTTTGTTTATCTGGTGGTAATGTCTTCATGTAATTAGCTGGGCTGAGCTCCCGCAGTTTTTCTGTGTTTTCCACTAATTTGGCCTCCGCTGTCCGCCACAAAGGAACCGGGAAAAAAGCATCTGCTTTAACCAAAACAAATTGCATATTAGGCTGCTCATCTCCCCATGATTTCCAGAGCTTCAGGATTCGGGTCAGCGGAGGAAGAACTCGTTCTGAGCCTCTCCACTTCTCAATGATGCAATAGTCATTGGGCTTTCCCAGCAGGAAGCGTTTCTCCCCAAAAGTAGCCTCGTGGTCCTCCAGCAAGGCCTGGATGACATCAGCAGAGGTGGTGCGTTTAGTTAACCCGCAGACAATCTTTTCTTCTTGGCAAACCCAAACTACAATTTCCTTCTCTTCTGATTCCATGTCTTTAGTTGGAGATCTAAAAGAAAAACAAAGCACATTATATTTCTGTCATCACCCATGTAACCTGAGAAGGATGTTTCAACATTAATAATCTTCAGATTTTACCCTTAGTAGGAGATGAACTTTCATGTTCAGGTTATGTAAGAATCCTATGATTTTATCTAAGAAGAAAAAAAAAAAAAAAAAGCTATGGAAAATATTTTGTTTTTATTTTCCAGTAGGTTTGGTAAAGATAAATTGTTATCAAAGAGAACTGAAGCTATTCTAATTTGTCTTTGAAAGTTGGCCATGTTATATTCACAGTTACAAATGCTACAGTTAACAAAATAATCAGGAAGAAGGGGAATAAGAAGAACATAAAAAAGATCCTTTTCTTTTGGAGCCTCAAAACTACAAAAGAACCAATAATAATTGAGATGATATTAGAGTCAGAAGTTAAAAATAGTTAAATATTGAAATTATTCATTGTCCCATTCAATTAATGTGCACTATATGCCAACATGTGACATATTAAAGATATCAAGTATCTAATAGTAAACCAAAAAGACAAGAAAATATATACGAATATACAACTAATATAGTACCTCAATGTACATTGGTCAATCTGTTTTTTATTACTATAACAAAACACCTGATGTAGGTTACTTTATAAATAAGAAGGTTTATTTTAGCTCAGAGTTCTAGAGGTATAAATCTTGGGAGTTTCATCCAATAACAGAATCCAAAGGCAGTACAAAGAATTATATGACAATACAGAGTGCACAACTCTGTAATTTCTCTTCTCATAAAACCCCAGAATTCAATCACAGGGGCTCCACCCTAATGACCTTATCTAATCCTAATTATTTCCTTAAGGCACAATCCTCAAGTGCATAATAAAATAAGCCTCCACCCTCATAATACCATTAATGTAAAACTTTGGGGATTAAACTGCTGCATAAATTCAGGGATACGAATGATTATTGAAACCATAGCACTGCTTAAACAAATGGCTGTAAATAGGAGAGGAAAGGCAAGTTTTCTTTGAGTATGAGAAGCATGGGGATTTTATGATTTCTAAGCCATACCTGTCAGAGCATTTAAAGATCATATTTTTCCTTTATGATTATAAATCAAATTACTTGTCTTCTATAATACCTTTAAAAATGTGTGCAAAGAAATGAGTGATATTAAATGAATTACATTCCACTATGATAAATGGTGGCATAAGAATTTTGAGTAGAAAGTGTCCTGGGAATGTTTAGTCAAACTCATTTTTTACTTTATATAACTTCAGAGCATATAACTCCATAAAGCACATGTTAAAAACCTATTCCTGGCTTCTAGACTCTTGTAACCCTTAGAATTTAATAGGTATTTATTTTTTAGTAATAACAAATTCTATTTCATCAACTTTATTTTAAATGAATTAATTATTAGAATTTGGATATTGATGCTCCCGAAGTGAAAAGTGATTAATAAAAGTGAAATAATAAATAAGGTATATCAAATAATATAAATATTAAATCTATTTCCTAACAATGATACTCAGCAAATGTAAACATTGAAACATAGCAAGTAAAATTTTATAATTATTTAAAATCTACAATGTCATGATGGTTCTTTTACAAATAATTTTAATGATTTAGTACTGAGTAATATGATATTTTAAAGTAAATATTATGATAAAATATGTTTGAATTTTCTCATTTAATAATACTGGACACCACAAAAGCAGGTTAGAATTTAAAATGATAAATTATTTCTATATTTAGATTTATAGAGAAATAATATGGAAAAGTATTCCTGACCAAAATATGTGTGTTCTCAAATAAATCATTATCCATTAGTTTCTATATTATGGCTACAAAAACATTGTTAACCATTAACAAATTAACTCTAAATAAATATCATCTTAATGTTTTAATCATGTATCATTGTAAGTTCTTAATTTTTTGTTTACAAGGAGTCTCACTATGTCCTTAAAGACCATGCTGGTCTCAACTCATGGAGATGCTCCTGCCTCAGCCTTCTGAGTGCTGGGATCACAGGCATGCACCATCAAACCTAGCCACTGTGGGTACATTTTTACACTCTAACACGCATAATTTTAGTAAAACACACTTTCTGCATAATTTCATGCTAAGTTAAAACTACTTTCATAATTATTAATCATGGATAATAATACTAATACAATAATAATGTTTAAATGAAATACATCTTTTTAAATTTGGGGGGGGTTAATTCTAAAAAATATGATTAACAACAGCAACAAAATCTGTTAAAAACACAGCATTGATAGATGGTAACTATGAAACATAAAACATTTAAAATCTTCCAAATTCTCTTCTAAACTGTTACATTAAGTCCTTTAATAGTCAGAGTTCTGTTCATCTCATTTCACAGATAAGGAAACAGAGGCACAGGAGACTAGTAGCAATTTGCTTACATTCAGGTAGTGGTGCAGTCAGGATTCAAATTCAAGCAAGACCTAGGGTTTCAGAAACTGTACTTCTAAGTAGCACACTATCAAAGCAAGTCTATATATTTGATGATTTAGTGATTGGGATTAAATTAGAAACAAATTTCCTTTAAAAGAATTTTATTATGTGAATTAGCTTTGAGGGAAAAGGAACCTGATTGCCGACTAGAGGCATCAGCTGATCCAGGAAACACTTCTCCCAGCGGCCAGCATCGGAAGAAAATATTCAGGAATGTGTTACTTTCTGTGCTTTAAAAATACAGAAATATTCTTGTCCTGAGCTAAGGCAATGATAAAGGGTCGCTGCTTAGTTTGGGCATTTCATTTAGCTGGTTAGACCTCTATATGTTCCACAGCCCTTGTTGGCTTCTTGGAGTAGCCCTATGTTCTTTTTTCTAGCTGACAGACATCAATCAGTTCCGGGTCTGTAGCTAAGAAAAATCACATTACTGTATTTATAAATTTTTCAATGCTGATCTAGAGCTGCAAAGAAGATGGTGAGCAGAGAATTCTTTTGTTCAATACAATAATGATGATATATGTAGAAATCCCCCATTCTGTCATGGCTCCTATACCAACTGGGATATTGTTTTACTTTGAAAGGATCAAGTTCCACACTGGAGTATTCCCTGAAGTTTTAGTCGTTTCCAACTCACATAGACAAGCAGGACTAATGGTCTTACCCACAACCAAAAAAGATATTAATTTAATTTTAGTACATGTGCTGCCAAAGTGAGCACAAGAAGCTATTAATTCAATATTATGTCTGAAACAATTACTGCCTTTATTAAAAACTTAGCAATCTTACTGGCTCCCAGTAAGATTACCCTTGTATTTTTGTAGGTCAACGATTATCAAATTGTTGGAAGATTTTTACAAAAATCATTCAAACCAAGTGATATTTAAAACTTTCTGCTTTATTGAAGGTATTAAAAAATAACCATTCATTACTAAATTTAGGCAGTAAATTTTCCGCAAGTATATGATTCATCACGTCCACAGTCTATTTTATAGCAGGCTTAAGATTTTGAAAACTTTACTTATTTTATAATACGGCTCTAACTGAGTTTCTATTTGTTCACTTGACAAATATTTGTTGAGTCCCTCCGCTGTGGCTGACACTGTTACGGGAAATGGGGATAATAAAAAAAGACTCATAATAATTTTAAAAAGGATCAGTTCTAGTAAATTGTGGGAATACATGGTAGAGTTTGGTAGGGAACATTTTGTTTACTGTCAGATTTAGTGTTAATAGTATTAGAACTGAAGCCAAATAAAATGTTCTTTTCCCAACCTTTGGAAATTTAATAATAGAAATAATGATATTTATAAAACACACATAGCAAAAGGTTGAAAATACAAGCATAAACTAGACAACTTCTTTTGTCAAGTAATGTAATATAATGAAATGCAACATAATAAACCACTGTTAGCTAAAATGGATTCAAATCTAGTTGTTGAGACTTCTAACCTCTGATTCTAATGCAACATGGGATTGCCACTTCAAAAGCAAAACAAATACATACTAAAGTTTGTTTTATTTTGTTTTGTTTGCTTTGTTTTTACATACAGTTATTAGGAATGGCGGTTAAACATTTCACTAGATCACAAGCTATTAGGTAAAGCATGCGGTAGCCACAAAAAAGCCAAACCAACAAACCAAAACCCTGAAACACATTCAGCTTTGTCTGGTTTTTTAATAAAACCTCATTTTCCAATAATTCGCTTCATTTTCTGTGCTTCTGCCAGAGCTTTAGTTCCATATATAAATGATCTCAACTTTGCTAGTGTGACTTTTCTCTTTCTCTTCAGCCCTTTGCACTACGCCTTAGCACACTCACACTCTTGTTTGCTCGGTCTGCTTTAATAACTTTCATCATTTATGTCCTGTGTGTTGGAACATTTGTTTATATTCCCTATTTCCAATGTAATGAACTCAGTGCATTTCAGAAGCTTCTTGGCTCATAGCACCTTTGAAGTTAAAGACGACTGAAGTTAGAGATAGATCCACTTTGCACAACAGAAATCAAACAAAGAGAAGGAGAGTTATTTGCTTTAAACGACAAAGTTTTGAAGTCAGATATGAATCAGCTATCTGCACAGTCAGAAAAACAATAAGTAAATAAAAATTTAAAGTACACTTTTACTTGTGCCGACAAAATAGCAAATAAAAATTAAAATACTGCTCCTGTAATATTAAGCAGAGTATGGCAATTTTGGTGCTAATTAAAACAGCACAATTAATAAAATGTAAGAAATTCTATAGTGAAATGTATGCTGAAAAATTGAGTAGTGTTTTGAGTTGATTTTGAACTAGATTATTTCAAAATGACTAATAAAAATCACATTTAGTCATATATACTACTAATACTATCTCACAATACATTACTAACAATACATTACCTACCAATACATTACTATCACAAACAATTATTTTTAGTATGTTTTGGTAAGTGAAAACTCAACAAGTGAAATGATTGAAATATACTTGAGTAGATTTTATTACACATTCTAAACATCAATAAAGTACGGGCAAAATTACAATTATACAGTAT